ATAACAATAGTTTCCAGAAAACTATTGGTATGGCACCGTTTGAGGCATTGTACGACCGACCGTGTCGATCGCCTGTTTGTTGGATAGAGGTTGGAAAGAGCAGATTCTTTGGTCCAGAGTTCATTAAGGATACTTCTGAGAAGATTGCTCTTATTCGAGATCACATGCACACTGCCCAGAGTAGGCAGAAAAGTTATGCTGATTGTCGCACTCGTGCTTTGGAGTTTTAGGTTGGGGATCAGGTTCTACTCAAAGTGTCTCCTATGAAAGGTGTAATGCGCTTTGGGAAGAAAGGGAAGTTGTCACCGTGGTTTGTTGGTCCATTCATGATTACGGACCGAGTTGGCGCTGTAGCTTATCGGTTAGCACTTCTGGATAATTTGGATCACGTACACAATGTGTTCCATGTTTTCATATCAATGTTGGGGAGATTGAGTTGCAGCTGGATGCAAAATATTTGGAGCCACCATATCGTATTATCGACCGTCAAGATCAAATTCTTCGTAATAAGGTTATTCCTTTGGTTCGTGTTCAGTGGGGTCATCACAATGAGGCTGAGTCTACTTGGTTACGGGAGGATGTCATTCACTCGCACTTTCCTAAAATATTAGAAGAATGTAAGAGCGAATTCAAAGGACGGAATTCCTTTTGTTAGGGGGGAAGAATGTAATACCCCTAATTTTAAAAGGATAGTCTCGGTAGTTCATTTTATGGTTTTATTGTAATTTGTGCATTTGTATGTGTTTATTTGGCTATTTGCTTATTTGTTTTATTTATTGTTAATTAATTGAATTAATTGTAGTATTTGTTTTATTTAATCGAATTATTTAATTGAGTATTTGTTTTAATTTTTCTTTCTTTATTATATGCTTATGTGGATTAATGAATTAATTGTTATAGTGGTTTTCGTATTTATTATAATTCTAGGATTTTTATGTTTCACGGTTTAGCCAACTAGGTTTATTTTTAGTTGAGGTTTCTATATCATAATATAATAGAATTAGGTTTTCCTTAAACCTTTATAAATATAGCATTAAACGTCGGCTTAGGGTTTAGAAATCAAAAACCTTGTTCACGTATACAGAGAGACGGGGAGAAATAGAGAGAAATAAAGTACTTCGGTTAGGGTTTGGCTGGGATTAAGGCTGAACCAAGGAGAGATTAAAGGGGTGTTGTTTGAGGGTTGAACCAAGGAGAAGACAAAGAGAGAAAACAGACCGTTCGCCGGAAACCTTAGGAAGACGACGCTGAGATTTTGAACCAAATCTCAAAAGCAAGTTCTATTCTTAACTCTCTCCCTTTGACTTGTGTTCTTTACATGCCTAACTCAATTCCAGGATTAAATAACAGTTAAATTAAAACTGGTTTGCATGTTTTATATAATTAAAACAGTAGGTGTTCGCGATGGGTATTTGTTTGATTTAAAATCTTCTTTGCATAATTCTTGTTGTAATTGATGTTGTTTATCAAATTATGAATTTTATAATCTCTAGAACACACTGGGACTTAGTATTAACCAGTAGGAACCTTAACTATGGAGTACAGAAGGAATGGAAGTCGCCGGAGGTGAAACGGGTGAAGGAAAACAAGCAGTATGGGTTCCTGTGAGTAGAGGCGGCTCCCCACAAGGGTGGAGCCGGCTCCAAGGTGGGTAGAGGCGACTCCACATGGTGTGGAGCCGGCTCCACTCAAGGGGGAGGCAGCTCCCCATGTGGGGGAGGCGGCTCCACCCCCTTTTGATGCATTTTTGGCTTATTTTTGCTTCTAGGTTGGTTTTTTGAACTTTCTAGAGTATTCAGGGACTATACATGGGAACTTAGATGAGATCTGAGGTTGTAATAAAGCTTTAGAGGATGTGTGAATGGATAATAAACCACCTAGGGTTTATAGGTTGAACAATATATAGTACTTAACAAAGCTGCAAACTGTTAAGAGATGCGATTGCTTATGTTGTTCTAGCAATTTTTCCGTGAATGATTATCTAATTCTAATAATGTAACAGTGGAATAAGTAAGCATATTAAAATATATATATTTTTTAATTACGCTTGTTAAGGATTACTTAATGTTTCAATTTTAGAAATTATTGCATAAATTGTTGGACTGGTATTAGAAGCATAATAGTTCGCCTACGTTTATTATGCTCGCCATGGAATTAATTGATGTGTACATTTATTTATGTTCTGTCAATTAAACAGATTCTGGGGATAAACTGATATTTACATATACTGTTGTATTATCAATTGTTGGATTTTGGTTGAGTAGTGTAAAAACAGCATGTTAAAATACATAATTTTGTTATGCTTATTATGGAACAATTGATGGTCGTATTTAATATTTTAAATATCAATTGTTAGATGTATGGATTAGTTGATATTTACTTTCATTATCTGTTTTATCAACTACTGGATAGATGGAATGTATGCACCAGTATGGGACGGTGGCATACAAGGGACGGATTAGTTTCAAAATACTAAATCCTACCTATACGGAATAAGGGAATGGATTATAAAATCAATCCTACTTATTATCAACTACTGGATAGATGGATTATATGCACTGGTATCGGACGGTGGCATACTAGGGATAAATTAGTTTCAAAATACTAAATCTTACCTATACGGAATAAGGGAATGGATTATAAAATAAATCCTACTTATATTTAAGTCAGATCAGCTTAAACAAAGTTGAATGACTAACTGGATTACTTGCTATGGATATGTAAGTCAAAGTAGCTAAACGACTTACTGGATTTCTTATGGATGGATAGGATAGGACTTTAAATATATTTTTATGGTACCGCAATATGAGCTTGAGTCTTAGAGTCGATGGTTAGGTTGCGTATATGCAGTAGGATGCGTAACTGGCTATGTAGGTTGAGGTATACCCTGTTAGGCTTAGGTAGTCTTGCCCACTCAGGTGCGTTTTGCATGTTGCCTTCTATTTAAGTTAAGACCCTCTGCATAGTCCAGTGAGAGTCCTGTAGTGTGGATATATACATATATACGGACTATATATCTATTGTTGAGTTGGTTGGGATGTACATGCGTATCGAGTCTCTACTTAGATTGTAGTAGGATGGAACTTATTCGTGGGCCTGACCGACTTCTATTTTTCAGGTGTTCGTTAGTTCCATGCGTAGGGGTTGTTCGTGCTGAGCAGAGATAGTCACTCATTCTTCCGATGACGTAGGATCTCTTTTCGTGATTTAGTTATGGATTTCTTTTAGTTTTACAGTTCAGTTGGGATTTTCTTATTAGGGGTCCACTGGTTGGATTCCCGAGTTGTTAAACTATTGGAGGTTTTGGATTTTAAGTATTTAATTTTTTTAAAGGATTATATTTTAGATTTCTTTGAGCTTTTAATTATTTATTTCTTAACTCATTTTGTAATCTGTGTTCGTTTAAATATTAATTGTTTGATATTTACCTCGGATTTGGGCTTGGGCTTGATCAACCCATGTCTCGGATTCGAGGGGTATCACATATGCTATCCAATGATACAGTGATCCCCTCCTCAGTCTCTTTTTCCATATGGAACAAGTATGTGCTAGAAGCCCCGTTAAAACATGGCATAACGACGATGTACATGTCCTAACCAGGTACAACGAATATAATAGACCTATCATAATAGTTAACTTGGGCATGGTAGTAAGATAACCAGTCCATCTCGAGTATCACATCATAAGTGTGCATGTCCACAACCAATAGATTAGCTAGAAATCTAAGTCTACCAATATCTAGTGTCACAGGCCCATCACTCTCATGTAAAATAGTTGTGTCGCCTATAGGTGTAGAAATATTATGAGGTTTATCGCATACTTGCGTCGTTATCCCAGATAATGCAACAAATGAATTAAATACGAATGATCGTGTAGTACCCATATCAAATAAAACACAACCATGTGTTCCAAGAATAGGAAACATACCATTAACAGCCTAAGGCGCCTGAACATCCTGTGACATGGGATTATACACCTTGCCATCATGCAACTCTATGGTACTTGTCTATATGGCTGCGGCGGTGCTAGTAAAGCCGGGAAGGTCTGTCCCTGATTCAGTGGAATCTGTGGAGTGGGTAAAAGTAGATGTGCTCTTTATCCCTACTGCATGTGTTGTCCCTGTCCTGCTCCAGGACACTGCCTGGAAATATGACCAACGGTCTCCTCTGTTGGTTAGCTTATGGTTGACCCTGTCCTGCCTGTGGTCCCCCATTCTGCTGCCTCTGAATAGGTGCCCTATCTTTGTGAGTATCTGAACCACCCTTATGCTTCTTCCAAGACTGTTGTCCCTAGAATCTGCCCTTATCATTATATCGGTGCCAATTGTCGTTCCCTTTCTCAACTGACTAACTAACAGAGAATCTGTCACTCTGCTTTTCACCCCTAGCCTGTCTGAAGTCCACAGTCAGCTGATACTGCTGTAGATCGGTGTCTACCACCTGAGCATAAGTAGTGTAGGCTGGACTACCTATAATAGATCGCTTAATAGTCCACATAAGCCTATTAACGAAGCTAGTACGTTTCTTCTCTTCGGTATCCACCTCCTTTGAAGAAAGAAGAGATAAGCGTGTAAACTGCTGCTCATACTCTACTACTGTCATATCCCCCAACTGTAAGTTAAGGAACTCTCTTTCATAGCTGTTTTGACTACACATAGAAAGTACTTCTCATCAAAGCGAGCACTGAACTGATCATAAGTCAATGAAGTCCTCTCCTCTGCGGTGGTAACTGACTCCCACCACTGAAGTGCATCTTCAACAAGCTTGAAGGTAGCAAGTATCTGCTTTTGAACCTCCGTGCACTTAACTATGAGAAGTGTCGCTTGATGTCCTTCTTCCATTGGTGAGCTACTTTCGCATCGGTGAAGCTTGAGAACTCAGGTGGGCTCCTTTTCGTGAGAGAACTCCTAGCTTTCTCCCAAGGATCTGTCTGAACCCTTGGTGTCGATACGGGTGTCTGTGGAACCTATGGGTGATTTTGAAGTGCAACTGCAGCGCCTGCTACTCCTTAGCAATGAGGTCTGTCATCTGAGGAGAATACTCTGGGACCCTATCCTGAGTGTGGCCCTGATCCTGAAACTCCTGATCCGACTGTTCCTCCTTCTGCTCTTTATAAAATTGATCATTCTCCTCCTCTTGGAATCTAAGTTGTTCCTGCTCCTCTGTAGCTTGCTGATGTCGTAGGAGATTTCGCTGCCTACGTGCTTCTCTCTTCTGCTGCCTGTTCCTCTGAATCTCCCGTCTTCTTCCAGCGTTAACCATTCTGTTAACATAGAAAGACAGACGTCAATACGATTAAACGTACCGTAAAAGAATACAAATGAATCTTATATTTAAGCTCTAAGTAAAAGAATACACTATGCGGAAGTCTTATACGAAAGAACCCTAGAAACACTTGAACCTGGAGTGCTCTGACACCAATTGTGATACCCCTCGATTCTAAAGCCATAGGTGATCAAGTCTGAGCACAGAATTGAAGGATATCAAACAATTAATATTTAAACAAGCATTTGAATACAAAAAGAATAATAAATAAATAAATAATAAATTGAAGGGAACTAAATAATAAATCATCACTTAATAATTAAATAATTCTCTAAATCAAAATAATAATTAACCCTCCAAAACGAAATATCCAAAACCTCCAATATCATTACAACTCGAAAATCTATCTAGTGGATTCCTAATAATATCCAAATTGAAATAAAGAAATAATCCAAATTCATAACTAAAATATAAAGAGGAATCCTGCGTAGAATCGGAAGAGTGAATAAAATGTCTCTGCTCAACACGAACAAACTCTTAGTCTGGAGCTAACGAACACCTGAAAAATAATAGTGGGTCAGGCCCACGAATAAGTTTTAATCTACTACATCCCAAACAGAAAGTTAGAACTTATATACATCCTAATTAATTCGACAGTAACTAATAGTCTGTATATATATACATACACTAACGGAACCTCACTAGACTATAGAGTTGCCTCAACCTGAATAGTAGGTAACATGCAAAACGCACATATAGTGGGCATGAGTATCTAAACCTACCAAGGCACACAACTACACTATATCTAGCTATACATCCCTGGCAATATACGCACCATAGCCACTGATCCTGTGACTCAAGCTCATATCATAACGTATAATTATATATATATAATTCATCTTATCCAACTATCAAAATAAACTATCCAAATATTATTTTAATAATATGTCATCCAAATGTTCTGTTTGACCTGACATGAATAAATATGAATTAACTATTTTGTTAATCCGTTCCCCTGTAAATATAAATAGGATGGACTTAACTATTCCGTTAATCCATTCCTAAGTGCCCCTATCCCATAATGGTGCACTATTTTAAATAATAATCAAATAAAGATTTCCATATCCATATCAAGATGCAAATATTATTATTATTAATTTTTTTTTTTTTTACATCAAATAGTCCAAGTAAACATGATGTCAATCATATATACAACACTTGCATTTAATTGAGCAAAAATAATAATTCGAAGTATCAGGCATTTAATTTACATCATAAGAAATTACCATGCATCTCAATTAATTGTACTCCTCCACAATTTGATTAAATTCATTTAAATCCAAAATAATTGATTAAAATAATTTAATCAAACCACATTTAATTAATTTAACCTTTTAAATTAAATTTCATACTTAGTATGAGTACTTTAAATCAGGCAATCCAATTCTTAATGAATTTATTTACATTAAATAAATATTTAATGCTGATCCATCAATCAAAACAACAATATTAGTTTAATATCCCAGCATTAATCATATTAACATTAAAATATTTATTGCAAAACCATCTAATCAAAACAGAACAAGAGAAAAACAAGCATATATAGAATGATTTAAAGAATTAATTAAATATTCCATTTAATCCCATTAAATCCATTGTTCTTCTTCCTTCCTCGTTCGACGTGCATGAAGAAAATGAATTTTAATTGTATAACAAATTGATGTTTTCTTAAAGCCACTCTTTTCCTTCCTCGTTCGGCGTGTATACTTTATGAACAAAACAAATTCTGATTTCACCTCCACAAACTGATTCATGCTAAAACTTCATGTTTTTTAAAAAAAAAACAATAAAGACACTACCAAACAATGCCCAGTTCATTTTTCCTTCTTATTTTTAATCATCATTGTTAACGATCTTATGAACCAATCTATGTTCCAGAATTGTCCTAATAGCAATTAAACATTATATAAACATACCTTGAACATCATACCCATAATTTATGCATCAATTCATCAAAATATGAAAATTCATTACAAACCCTTTATTAAATCACATGAAGTGTAATTTCCAAATTAATCAATGTAATTAGATCCAATTAATTTATTTAAAGAATCTAGAATTAATCTAGCATGCATAGGGTATGAATTAAAGGATGATAGAAGAATTAAAACTTATCTTTATGAATTTGATAAAAACCCTAGTCTCCTTCTTCCTCTTTCTCTTCCCTTTTTCTCTCTCTAAAATATATTACTTGATTTATTTTCTAACCCCTTTTACAACCCTATAGTTACATACTTATAAGCAAATAAAATAACCCTAATCATTTTCCCAATCCAAGTATAATCAAAAGAAAATAAAAGGAAAATATAAAAGTTAATCCAAATATAAAATATTAAAAGATAACCAAATAAATAGTATATATATATAATCTATATATATCCTTTATAATATAAATACATATATATACACCTCAGATTAATTATTATTAATACTAAAGTTATAAATAATTTTAATCAATAAATTTCTTTCCTTATATATATATATATATACACACACACACACACACACACACACATACATATATAACTATCCATGGGTAATTATCCATACCCATTTAATCTCCTATCCAAGTAGTCCATGGGACCCAATTGGTTGGTACATTACTACTATCCATATCCAATTCCTTTAAAAATGAAAAATAAAAATATATACAAATAAAAATAAAAATAAAACAATTAAATTCCTAAACAAATACACATCATCACATACAATTTAATTTAAACAAATAAATCAAATACACATAATTTTAGCACACAATTTAATTTAAACAAATAATTCAATTAACACATAGACAATAAAATCAATTAAATAAGTAAACAATTAGCCAATAAATCAAATAAACAATTAAAATGCAATTAAAACAATTAAATAAATAACAAGACTATCCTTTTAAAATTAAGGGCATTACAGATGGCCCACAAAGAGGAGCATATCACCATCAATTAAGCCCTAACCAGTGCTAAAATTAAGATTATTGGGGTACTCCTCTAATTTGACACTTTCGGGGACCTTGTATTTCTTCTTCACTTGGTAAAGGGAAAAATGATTTCCTCTCAACAATATCAACATGAAAGATTATAGATCCCTCCATTTTCACTTCACCTTCTACATTAATGTCCACCTCCAATTCATGGGGTTCAGACTCTTCAACCCTTACACTAATTGTATGACTGCTACTCTCCTCATTCATATGTACAGAAAGAGGAAAGCGACATTCAACTAAGAAAGGGAAGAAAACTAACCTTAAGGTGAAGAATCAATTAGAGATCTAACAAAATCGCTCAAAAATTTCTTACATAAGTAAAGGAATCAAGTCGTAGACCAAGGTTGGAAATGGAAGCTTTAATAGTGCCCTTATTGTGTATAAATAGGCATATTGAAGAAGTCAGTCACATCGGCAGCTACATGAGACCCAATTACGCAACATTCAAGGGGAGCAATGATCAACATCAACGCCTCCAAAAACTCCTCAACTCCCAAAGCAGTTAAAATTACTTCTATGAATCTCATTCAAAGAAAAAATTGAGAGCAAAGTGTGGAGGGAAAATTCTCCACCAATCAAGGTGCAACACGTGTACGAGAAAGGGCTAGTTGCAAAGTAATAGGTAGACTGTAGACACCTAAAGGTTGAGCCAGAGGAGGAAACGGGTCAGGCTCGTTGCTGGAGTAAGGCCCAATCACGTCAACCCAAAAGTGGTGCAACTAGATGGTCAAACACACCATATACATCTGAAGAAAGCCAAAAAGCCCATCTGTTCTAGTAACATTCCTTGTCCAATCAGAATAAGGAGTTGCGAGATAGGGAAGCAACAACTGTTGAGAAATAACTTGTATAGCAAGAATGAAGTCCTAAAAGGACTCATTTAGGGTTTTATACTCTATAAATAAAGGTTAAGAGCATCTTCAATCGTTATATATATATATATTTTGTGTAAATTTGATGTCTCATATATATATTTTATACTTTTTGTATAAAAATATATTCCCCAATAATAATCAACCAGTGTAAAAAGGTTGTGTGAAATATACAACAATTTTACATATTGGTGATGTGGCACTGTATCTTAACAGACTGATGGAGATAAAAAAAAAAAAAAAAAATTACACATCATACGTGGTAGTATATATTTTACACAAAGAGTACTTTAACAAATTACTGGAGATGCTCTAAGTCCCCAATGAAAAGGTCTTTGAATTTTTTTTTTTTTTTTGCAAGTTAACAAGTTTTCTATTGAGTGTTTGTAGGCAATAGATTCAGATTCGCAACTTTCAAAAAAAAGAAAAAAGATTCGGATTAGGGCTTTAGATGATCGGATCGGGTAAGATCCACTGATTAAATGAATAGGGCTGCAAATGAGCCAAGCCGAGCTTTACTTTGCTCGGGCTCAGCTCACCAGTTTCAGAAGGGAGCTCAAGCTCGGGCGAGCTTGGCCAAACTAGGCTCGGGCTCGGCTCGCCAATATTTTGGCAAGCTCGGGCTTGGCTCGACTCAAGCTCGCCTTCAAGCCAAATTGAAAAAAGAAAAAGAAAAAAAGAAAAGAAACGAAAAGCTTTAGATCTAAAACTGTTTTGACAATGGATCAATGCATCACTTCCGATAATTCTTCTGATCTCCCAACATTAAAATGGGATTGAGACATCGGGACCCAAAGAGAGATTTGAGGGAGATATCTATTGGAAACCCTCACTGTGAGAGAGAGGAAGCGATGCTGTATCGATATTGAAAGGGATGGGATTAGAGGAGTGATGTTGCAAGATTTGTTTAGGGTTTCATAGCGGATATTGCAGAGACAGCCGACGACGTGCTAGAGAGGAAGAAACGATGTTGTGTTGAAGATTGGAGGAGCGATCCTCTGAGTATTGTTGCGGAACTTGCGGCTGCTGTAATGAATTTGGTCACAATATCCAACGCCTGATACAAAGATTTATATGTATATAAAATGATGATAGGGTAATACATTAAGTAGAGTTGGGCTTAAGGTGAAATAAATTTGGGTTTAAAGTTAAATGAAATTGGGCTAATGAATATGCATTTAGATTGGCTTTATATTAAATGGGCCAAACAATTCTATATTAGTATAAAATAAAATAAAATAAAAATAAATTATTTTGCTAAACGAGCCTAAAAAAATGTCTTCAAGCTCGACTTGTCTATTTCAATAACAAACCCAAACAGAACTTTTTACGAGCCGAGTTGGACCTATCAGTTCATTTGCAGCCCTAGAAAGGAACACCCCGTGAAATGAGAAAATGTGGTTTAAACTGTAAACTGGAAAAAAGGACATAAATGCGGGTGTCCCTCGCTTTTACATGACATACCTTGCCATGTCCCGTTACATTTGGAATTTCAACTCTCACATTTTGAACGACTGAAAAAGGAGATGTCATGCGCAAGTGCAAGGCATGTGATCGGAAGTCGAATTTGTACAACAAATTTGTATGATTACGTGCAGCTTCTTGAAGCTTGCATTGCATCAAGATCACTCACGAAAGGCATGATAGTCCATCAGCATCTCCTTAAGAATGGCATCATTACCAATACCACCACAAACAAAAGCAACAACAGTAATGCCATTGTATTAGACAAACTCACTCGGTTTTACATTACCTGTAAAGAACCTGAACTCGCTGGTCGCGTGTTCGATGAAATTCCAGACCCAGAAAAGAAAAACAATGTAATATTGTGGAACCTGATGATCAGAGCTTATGCATGGGATGGACCCTTCCACCGAGCGATCGATTTGTATTACCAAATGTTTGAATTTGGGGTCACACCAACAAAGTACACCTACCCATTTGTTCTCAAGGCATGTTCTGCTCTACAGGCAATAGAAGATGGTGAGGAGATCCATAATCATGCTAAAAGACTTGGGCTTGAGTCTGATGTTTACGTTTGCACTGCTTTGCTCGACTTTTATGTAAAATGTGGTTCTTTAGTTGAAGCACGATATGTGTTTGATAATATGTCTAGTAGAGATGTTGTAGCATGGAATGCAATGATTGCTGGTTTGTCTCTTCATGGAATTTACTGTGACACGATAGAATTAGTTGTGCAAATGCAGAGAGCGGGATTGAGTCCCAACGCTTCGACTGTGGCAGGGGTTCTTCCCGTGATTGGCAAGGCGAATGCATTGGGCCAAGGGAAGGCTGTTCATGGTTACTCTGTGAGGAGGTTTTTTCATACCGATGTAGTGGTTGGAACTGGACTTTTGGATATGTATGCTAAATGTCAGTGTCTATCTTACACCAGGAGGTTTTTTGACTTGATGGGTGTCAAGAATGAGGTAACTTGGAGTGCTCTAATTGGAGCATATGTTACATGTGGTTTTACAACTGAGGCATTGGAATTATTTGATCAAATGCTGCTCAAGGGTGTTTCAAGTCCGTCATCAGTTATAATTGGAACAGTTCTTCGTGCTTGTGCTAAGCTGCTTGATCCAAGAAGAGGGAGACAGATTCATGGTTACACAATTAAATCAGGGTCTGTTTTGGATATAATGGTTGGAAACACGCTTCTTTCAATGTATGCAAAGTGTGGAATTATAGACGATGCAATGAGATTCTTTGATGAAATGGATTTGAAAGATACCGTTTCTTATAGTGCTATCATCTCAGGGTGCATGCAGAATGGTAATGCAGAGGAGGCTTTGCATACTTTCCACAAGATGCAATTGTCTGGGATAGACCCAGATTTGGAAACTATGATTGGATTCTTGCCAGCTTGTTCACATTTGGCTGCTCTACAACATGGACTTTGTGGTCACAGTTACTCAATTGTACGTGGATATACGACGTATACCTCAGTTTGTAATGCTCTTATTGACATGTACTCTAAGTGTGGTAAGATCAATACGGCCAGGGCAGTTTTTGATAGAATGCACAACAGGGATATCATTTCATGGAATGCTATGATTGTCGGTTATGGAATTCACGGACTTGGGATGGAGGCACTTTCAATGTTCCGTGATATGCAGACTGTAGGTTTAAAGCCAGATGATGTGACTTTCATTTCTCTCTTATCTGCTTGCAGTCATTCAGGACTTGTCGATGAAGGGAAACACTTGTTTTCTGCCATGAATGAAGATTTCAACATTATCCCAAGGATGGAACACTACATGTGCATAGTTGATCTTTTGGGCCGTGCTGGACATTTGGATGAGGCCCACAATATCATTTTGAGAATGCCATTTGAACCTGACGTTCATGTATGGAGTGCCCTGCTTGCTGCCTGTAGGATCCATAAGAATATTGAACTGGGAGAAGAAGTATCAAATAAGATCCATAGCATAGGACCAGAAGGTACTGGAAATTTTGTGCTCTTGTCTAATATATACAGTGCTGCTGGGAGATGGGATGATGCAGCAAATGTCAGAATCATGCAGAAGGAATGGGGTTTTAAGAAAAGTCCAGGATGCAGTTGGGTGGAGATAAATGGTGTTGTGCATGCATTTGTTGGTGGGGATCAATCGCACCCACAGTTTTCACAGATAAACAATAAATTAGAGGAATTGCTAGTGGAGATGAAGAGGTTGGGCTATTGTGCAGAATCTAGTTTTGTTTTTCAAGATGTTGAAGAGGAGGAGAAGGAACGGGTTCTCCTTTATCACAGCGAGAAACTAGCTGTTGCTTTTGGAATTCTGAGTTTGGGCCCCAGCAAGCCCATTATTGTTACTAAGAATTTGCGCATTTGTGGCGACTGCCACATTGCCCTAAAATATATTACTACAATTACAAAGAGAGAGATAACTGTAAGAGATTCAAGTCGGTTTCATCATTTCAGGGATGGAATTTGCAACTGTGGGGAATTCTGGTGAGGGAAGTGGTTATGTGAGTGGTCACAGAATTCTACGGTGGACGCAGTGAAATCTACATGTCGCGTTTCTCCTGAAAACTATGTTGAAGCTTTGAACAAGGTAACTTTTGTTCACTTTCAGATCATCATTTGATTTTGCTGTTCAATTTACTGTGGAAACAGGTTCAAGGCCTACATATTTCAGTTAGTTAGGGCCTTTTGGTTTTCAAACATGAAACTGTAATATATGGGAGTGGGAATAGGCCTCCAAGGGCCAATGGCACATGTTGGGGAGAACACAACCTATAAGATCACCTACTACGAAGATCAACTAAAACTATTGATTTATCATGAGGAAATAAACTAATGAGGCGATTCAAGATATAGTTTCCGCAAATCTTTGAAATTCTTCTACAGGGAATTTTGTTATTCTCAAGCGTTTAGGATGTGGTTTGAGGGACTAATTCTCAGTTGTAACTTCATACGAATTTTGAAGCAATTCTTTGTTCTTTTTTTTTTTTGGTTTCAGGGTGGGGGACTTATACCTTAAGCCAGCCTTCCTTTTAATTGGACCCTTCTGTCTGTGTGCTTACATGCATGTTTGGTTGTCTATTTCAGTTTCTCTCATTTTGTTAGTGAATGATAATGCTCTGAACCAGAGTGACATCCATAGAATTGAAACTCTCACTGAAGTTATACTTAATGAGACGTGGCAATCTGATTTCATGTTACTGATAGTGTTCCTTTTGTTTTCATTTGCTTGTACTACAAAATACAAATGGTATTGCCATGGTGAAAACAAATATAAGACACTGCAACCTCTAATAATTTTGTGTGTGTTTGATCATATAAAGCAGGCTAAGCCTCTTCTAATGAGCATAATAGAGAGTGGAAAATATGGGAAGCTTGTGGGTCCAAGCTGGGTGAAGAATCGCAGATGACAATTGTTCTTACAGATGCTGTTCAGAGGTCTGGTATGATGATTTCACGTCAGGTTTTTTGCTGATGACTTGCTCATAGTTGCAAGGGCTAATTTGGAGGGACTGCTGCTACCTGAAAAAGAGTTTTGAAGCACTTTGAAATTCTGTCTTGCTTAACAGTTGGCACAGAGAAAGGTGAGGTGTTCTTGTCTAGGACAGTAGGAATAACGAATGCTCTTCTCCAATTCTTAGGGTGTGAGCTTGGGAAATTTCCTATTAACTATCTGGGCCTCTGTCTTAATTATTAAGGTATAAGAAATTCTGATTGCTCTTGAGTATTGGATAACGTGTGCCACGGTCACTAACTGGCATGGTCTGAATTTGTCAATGGCTGGTAGAGTTGAGTTGGTGAGAATTTTTTTAACATCCTTTGTTTACTATTGGGCCAGTGTTTACCATTGCTGTAGCTGTTATTAATTTTATAGAGAGGACAATGAGGAACTTTATCTGGGGTAGTACAAATGATACCAAGAAGCTGCATGCTTTGAGTTTGAAGACGTTTACCAGTCCTGAGATGGAAGGTGGGTTTGGGATCTGAAGAACTAAATAAGTTGATAAAGCTTTTAAGCGGACGCTGGTTTGGGACTACATTCAGACCAACGATCCGTTTTAGTTAACAGATATATCAGATTTGCAAACTTCTGGAATTGCATACCCTCTCAGCCTTCAATTATTTGGAAGAGTTTGATGGGGGAAAGGGAGTCTATGAACCAGCAGATATTCTTTAGAAATGGTGATGGCTGCAGCTTTAACGTGCTTTTGGATCCTTGATGTGAAGGGTACTCTCTGATTGAGAAGTTTGGGTATAGAATTGTGAGAGCTCTTGCTTAACCAAAAAAACTCTCTCTTGGAGGCTATCATTACTATGGTTTTGTGGTATGAGTTTTGCTGGAACAGTGGTAGGCCTAGGTGGTCAGAATTTACATGCTTGGCTTTACAGAATCAGATCTTGACCGAAGTTTCAAGTTAACTTCTGAGGCTTATGTTTAATGTGTCTGTCATAATTGTATGCTTAGTGAAGATGATGCTGAATAGTTGATCTCACTTGTTCTTGAACTGCATAGAGCAAGCCTTGGCGCAACGGTAAGGTTATTCTATTGTGATGTCGACGTTGGGTTCAAAACAAGGAAAGAACATCTCCTTATGCATAGGTAGTAGGTAAAGGTGCGTACATCTTAATGACGGGAGACTCGTGCACTGAAGTGTTGCCCTTTGTTCTTGTACTGCAGGATATGCTCAAGAAATTTGGTCGTGGATTGGATCAGTTTTGCAATGGAACTTGACAGTTCACAACTCCTTAATTGATCTTGCTACTTGGGTTGCTTCTATTGTTAGAAGTACAGAATCAAAAGATTCTAAGCATACAATTAGCAATCTAAGTTTCAATAACAGAATAAAGTTCTCTGTTTGTTTTGATGTAACATATTTTTCTCCTAAAAGATTTTCTTTTTTTAGGTAAAATATATATATATACTTTCTCCTAAAAGATTTTCTTTTTTTTTTTAGGTAAAATATATATATATATATATATATATATATATATATATATATATCTTTGAATTGAAAACAAATAATGCAAATATGGTTGAGATTGATCAATCTTGGTGTGGTGGATGACAGGGACTTTTGATTCGACTCGACGGCTGCAACACGTCGCCCAAAGTCATGGTTTGTATCTTACCTTTGATCCCATTTCCCTAATTGAGAGAAGTAATGTTTGATGTTGAAGAGTGGAATGGGTTTGAGGACGTTGAAAGTGAGAGATTCCAAGGCTAGAGAAACGACTTGTAGAAAGTGCAGTTTGATCTTTTTGCAATTTTATCTTAATTAATATTAAAATGAATTTTAAATTATTTAATTTTAATTGTTAGGGTGCTGTTTGATAAATCAATTTCGTGCTTAATTTTGAATGAATTTCATGCTTATTCAATTAAATACGTTTGATTACGCAAATAGAATATTTCTGAAAACGGTAAGCACGGCTTAAAATAGGATAAAATTTTAACTGAGAGAGACCTCACTTATTATTAAATGCTGAAAATTAAAAAATATATTTAAAAAAATATTTACTTTTTTAGTTACCACCTAAAAACTTCACCACTTAAAATTTAGCTTAATTTTTTGTTTTATCAAACAACTAAATTTTAAGTGAAATCAATGTAATTTTATTATGGAATAATTACAATTACTTTCCATGTAAATTGCCTAAATAATAGAAACCTTTAGTATGGTTTCAGAAATAACATTAACTTTTCTTATCGGTGTTGATTTTGACCCGAATGTGTTAAATGACATGACTATCATATCTATTTTAATTTTATTAGTTCAACTTATGATTTTTAAGTTTTCTAAGGGCATTATCAAGTTTTAAGTAAATTTTAAGTATGACATTAGCCAACGAAGGGTGTCAGATTTTGTGTCAGATTTTATGACTGGAAAGGTTAACTAGAGGGGAGGTCAATATTATATTTGAAATTAGGAGGGAGATCCCCGTTATTTAGATAATTTAGAGGCGAGGTAAGTGTAATTATCCCTTTTAATTTTTTTACATATCTATAAAATGATAGAAAATGATTTTTACACCGAATACTTGCAGTGAATTACTAGACCTATTCTTTTAATTGGTCAATTATGCAACAAATAAGGAAGTGAAGTCCTCCACTTAATTGTATTTGGTACAAATAATCAATTAAAAATTATTCAGTTCGGTGTGAGTATCACTATTCTAAAATGATAAGTTTGTTGAGAATAATTCATGTGAATAGCATGGACTAGTGGTTCAACTTGGACACTAATCTACATCTATAAAATGATGGAAAATGATTTTTGCACCGAATACTTACAGGCTTTGTTTGGTTAGGCAGAAACAGCTAGAAAAGAAAGGAAAGAGAAAAATTTTAAACTTTTTTAAAGTTTGGATAGATAGAAAGAGAATCGTAATGGAAAATTTAGTTTCCCGCGTGGAGTATTTTCCTCTAAAAATTTTCGCGTGAAAGAATTGCCTATTTATTTATAGTTCCTATTTTACCCAGCAGTTTAATCGCAAAGTTCTCTCCAAAGGTAAGTTTTCTCTCAACGTTTCTCTGGCAACGCAAATTATACAGATAGCATTTTTTTTTTATTTTTAAAAATTATATGTTCTATATTGCAATTCTAGCCACTCATAATCTGAAATCATACTAAAATCAGAATTTTTTATAATTAGGAATGTTATTTTAATGATTTATTTCGTTCCAAATATATACCAGTATCCAATATCAATATATATATATATATATATATATATATATATATATATACCAAGTTGTCAAGCCCTGGATTCCTAAACACAGTCATCATTAGCATTGACTAAGTAGGCTGGTAACACTTATTTCTCACTTTGTTGCATGAATGTTTTATTGAAAGACTATATTGAACTTTTGATTTGGTATATTAATGCTAGTCAATTCTGTATGACATGCATATATATATATATATATATATATATATATATATATAGTTATATGGTGAAATATTTAGTTTTTCTCTCAAAGGGTAGTTTTGGTATGTATAATCATTTTCTTTTCACTTTCATGCTACCCAATTAAAAAACTAATAATTTTTTACTATTTTCTTGGATACATTTTCATGCTAACCAAATGCATGTTAGCAAACTACTTCACTTTTCATTCACTTCACTTTTCATTCACTTTCTATTTCTTTTCTTTTCTACCTTATTTTTATCTAACCAAACGGAGCCACAGTGAATTACTAGGCTTATTCTTTTAATTGATCAATTATTCAACAAATAAGAGAGTGGAGCCCTCCACTTAATTGTATTGGTTATAAATAACTAATTAAAAATTATTTAATTCGGTGTGAGTATCACTATTCTAAAATGATAAGTTTGTTGAGAATAATTCATGTGAATAGCATGGACTAGTGGTTCAACTGTTACTTATTGGTCAGTTTAAATTAAAACTTAAAACTAATGTTTTGATTTCTTTGTAATATATTACTGTTACATTTTTGTGAATCCTTTTTTTTTAATTTTTTTTTTTTTGGAAAAAATAGTTTGGATTGGATTATTAAGGTTCAATACCAAATGCTTCTTCAATTTTCTTTAAAGGGGGACAAAGTGAATGAGTGTTTATAGTAAATTAAAAAAAAAAAAAAAAAAAAAAAAATTCCGTTGCCGGGAATCGAACCCGGGTCTCCTGGGTGAAAGCCAGATATCCTAACCGCTGGACGACAACGGAATGCTTTGCTTGGTCCATTTCTTTGGAACTATAACTATATTTAAATACATATGTATAATTTCAATCTATTTACGCGTCTGAACTCGGTTTCGTACTCTTCTTATCACCTCTTTGAGCTCAGTATGTGAGAGAGAGAGTGGAGTCCGATAATGTCCACCGATCAGTCTCCAACAGTGGCCACTGAACTGCCCAGAGACGTCATCATCGACATCCTCTCCAGATTGCCCGTCAGATCTGTCATCCGATTCAGCTCCGTCTGCAAATCATGGTACGCCCTTATCAAAAACCCTAATTTCATCACCAAACACTTCAATCAATCATCATCATCATCATCATCATCCTCTTCTCACACCACCGACGACGACAACACTTATTTTCTCTACACCCCTCTCAACCACTCAAACACCTCCAACGACAACGCCAATCAATCGGTCTCGTTTCTGTCCAACAACAACGCCACTTTTGATTTACCCATAAATCTGGACATACCCTTTCTCAGCATATCGAAACCGTTTAGGGTTTCTGGTTCTTGTAATGGGTTGGTTTGTCTCAGTATTCTGCCTCTTGGGCCGATCATTATGTTGTGGAACCCTGCGACGAGGGTCTTCAAGGACTTGCCCATTTCCCCACTCACTCGCCCCCAAACGTTGCCGATGAAAGTCGTTATCAGTTTCGGCTTTGATCGGAACGCCAATGATTACAAGGTCTTGAGGATTGTGTACTGTTGTTACCCTATTAATCAAGTTGACGTTTACTCCTTGAGTACAAATTCTTGGAGGGAGATCAAGACTGACATGAGGTATCTGATTTTCGAGTCGTCTTGTAGTGTGGTTTTGGGAGGGAGGTTTCACTGGAAAGCAGTTGGGTTCCAGGAGTTGAATGGTAAGCAGGTGATTGTTTCTTTTGACATGGGGACTGAGAAGTTCCGGCATATGCTGACGCCCCGATTTGGGTTAGACAATGAGAAATTTGGTTGGCATCTTGTGGTGTTCAAGGAGAGGCTTGGTGTGATTGCTAGTATGGATGATGGATCCGATAAGAAGTTTGATATATGGGTGATGAATGAATATGGTGTCATGGATTCTTGGGCAAAGTACATCTCTTTTGAGCCCCATTTGACGATCAGTAGGCCGTTGAGGTGCCGAAAGAATGGTGAGGTTCTGTTGGAAAAAAATAATGGGAAGCTGGTTCTGTATGATCCCACTACTCAGGCATTCAAGAATGTTGGAGTTCATGGGGTTGTGTGTTGGTCTGAGGTTTTTATTCATGTGCAGAGCCTTCTTCCAATCAAGGGGGGTAAAGTTGTGGAGGAGACCAACTTGTCTGCTATTCGTCCTGATCCGTACTTTGTTCGGAAATTTGATTTGGTGTTACTGGATCGATAATCGCACTGGCCAGTCTTGACCCTATGTCAAAGAGTTCTCATGAAAGCTGTTTTATTGTAATCTCTATGTAGCTGCTAGGATGTTGAGTTTGTATGAGCCATCAATGTCTGAAGATTCTGAAGGATTGAAATCGTATTTTCTTTTCAAGTAATGGAGTGATATATTTTGCTGCCGTTCGCTGTTTCATTGTTGGTAAGCGTAGTCGATGGTTCATTTCTATAGCAATTATTGAGTGTGTGAAGCAAGAGGATTGGAGGTATCATGAATTTTCTCTCAATTGTATTTCTGGCTGTTTGAATGCTTGGTGTTGCATTTAAGTATGTTGCTTGGTATCATATATGTTCTCTACCTCTGTGAATACACATTCTAAGTTATAAAGTTTATCCTACGGAACTTGTTATTGATATTTATAACTATTGTCATTTATTTCTTTCTATATGTCTTACTGTTTGTTAGTAGATGAATATTAACAGTTTTGTTATGAATATAAATTTATTGTAATCTAAGCACTTGGTTTGGCATTGATATTTGATTTCCAGAAGTGTTGAGAATTATTTTATTTTAATATATCATCTGGACTTGACTACTTATGGGTTATGCAAAGTTTAGTACCTATGCTGGTATGTGGTATTTGACTTTTTTTTTTTTTTGGTTTCAAGACCCTTCTTCTTATTTAAAGGAGAGGATATGTGATCTATTCTTCCCATCTTTTATCAATTGTTGCTGTCAAGACTTGTCTTAATTTCAGTATCTATATGGATTAAACTGTTAAATATGCACCACTATTCTAAACTGCCACCTTTTCCATTTTATTGTTTGGTGTCGTAAGAGTGCAGGCAAGAAGGTTTGATTGTAAATTGGTATAGATTCATAGGCTTTATGTATTTAAAGGATGACTCATTTACCAGTGGAGTGAACTTATTGTTCATACCGACTTAATCAATTTGTTTATATTATATCTTTAGGGTTTATTATACCCGGGAGTGTTTGAATTTCACAATTCCTTTGTTAGCTTGAGGCTGAGGTAATTTAATTTGCTAACTATAAAGATTATGTTGCACAAGTAGCCATCTATTCGGGAATTGGTACTCTCTCCTTTGTTAAATATTTCGTCTATAGATGTTACTATCCTTACAATTAACCTTTCAAAGAGACTTTTCTTTCATGACACCTGAATGTAATACTATGAACATAATCAAGGTATTCTCAATATCAATGTCCTTTTCATGTTTGTTTATGCATCTTGTCAAATTGATAAGACGTAGTGATAAAATACTTCATTATGAAGAAAAACAAAGTTAGTGCAATTGCCTACACTAATTGTAAGGACACACTTTGCCAATATTGTCTCACTTCTTTTATAATGCTTGTAAGTGTTTACATCGTTACATTTGTTTCCTTGAAAGTTAATGTCAAATTTTGGGTTCCTTTCTTCTTAGAATTAGTTTCTTATTGGCTTCTCTCTTTAATAGGGGATGCCATGTTACCTTCTCATCAACTTTAATTTTTTTTCTTTTTTCTTTTTCTCTCTCTTTTTACATTGACCAACCTCCCATGCGTGAGTAGGAGGAGATACCATATTACCTTCCCATCAACTTTAATTTTTTTCTTTTTCTTTTTCTCTCTCTCTTTACATTGACCAACCTCCCATGCGTGAGTAGGAGGAGATACCATATCTGCTAAAGCCTTGTGGATTTCTCAACATTGTAATGCTTGGTGTAGTATTTGTCTGCTGCCACATTGTATTTGTTTAGCTCGCTGATACACACACGGTAAATAAAATTTGTCCAACAAACATGTTATAGATGTTTTAAGTTTTGTACGAGTTCATCCTCTATAACCAATGCCGTCTACTTCTATACGTCTCACTTTTTGTTACTGGATTAGTTTTAACTGCATCATTTTTGGATAGATCGATACCATGGTTTTGGGTAACATTGACAATTATTTTGGTATTTGTCATCTGAACTTGTCCACTTATGGCATACAAACTCTAATCTGCCATCTCTCTCTCTTTGTTTTGCATCTATAAGTGCTTCCACTGGTATTGGTCATGTATGCATGTGTTCTATGTTGACTACTTGACCATTAGTTAGATCAGATGCCTCTGGCAGTTGAGATTGTATCATTCATGTAGTATTTTAGGCTTTACTTTTGTCACTTTCACTCCCCTTGTTAGCTTTTAGGTTGAGGAATCAAATCCTGCTACCTATAAAGAGAAAATGTAGCACGAGAAGTCATCCTTTTAGGTTGTTGAATTAAATTTGCATGTGACTTTTCACTGCCCTTGTGCGCGCCTGCGTGGTTGTGTGAAGCTTGAAAGTTCTGGATCTGTGGTAGTTATTGGTATGGACTGAAACCTAGTTTGGAGTAAAATGTTTTGTTATCCGGTTTGATTCTGGGTTTCTCGTCGGTTTGACTACGAATGAATGAATTGGAGGAAGAGGAATGTCATCCACAGTATCACATGGGTTGGCTTGTGAACCAAACGAAATATGAAATAGAGGGCTTCCTCAGAGACCCTTGGTAGATGCTAAGAATGACACCATAATGATTCAACCCTTGGTAGGGCTTGTTTTTATACCTTAAACCATTTCTCAGAACATCTAACAATTGAAATTTCTGAGAGAGGCAAAAATAAAATAAAAAATAAAAATTAAACCTAATAAGTGATTTGGGTGAGGAATTATTACCATGTGATCTACTAGTATGACGATTTGTGATTAATCGGGACCAGACCACGTAAAATTTCTGGATTTGGGCGACTAATTGAGCTATTGTGATTTGAACTTCGTTAAAGTACTTCATATCCGCAATCACATTAAAGCCCTCCGCCCCACTCGACTTGATGCAAAGTTGATAGCTATCAACACTTCTCGTGACAAAAAGGATCTATTGTGTGGTTAGAAGTCCTTCATTAAAAATGTATTTATAAAAGCAAGTTTGATAAAAGGAATTCAAAATAAAAAAAGTTATTTGGTGAAGACATTTTTTTAAAGTCATTTGAGAATTAATATAGTTTGATTTTTAATTTCAATTTTAAATTTACAGTATGACCCTAAATTTATAACCATCAGGGTCCAATCAAGGGCTGGTGGGTGTAAAATTGGTGGCAATAAACGGCCGTATAAAAGGTGGATGACGGTGGCAAATGGGGTTGGCCTGTGGTTTTGGTTTGTTTTCATCGTTTAGAGAGACAAGGATAACATATACATATATTTTAAAAACATAAGAATAAGAACTGACAAAGAGATAAAGAACAAGAATAAGATAGGAATATACTCTGTTTTACATCCACAATGCCTAAACGTGTGGAAACTGGGCTTTAAATGCAATTATTGGCTGAACGGGCTTTGAAGGGGTCAAATTTTTCTCGAAGTCCATTTGAAAGTTTTACCAAACAATTGCAATTTTTATGAAACGGGCTCTTTGGGTTTAAAAGCCCGTTTCGAGGGTGGTACAAGCCCCTCCAAACAAGCCCTAAATTATCAGGGAGAGTCGCTAGCCTTGCACAATCTCTATCTCTATCTTATGCTCTGTTTGGTAAGAAAGAAAAATTAAATGGAGGAAAGAAAAGTTGAATGGGTGGATGAGACCTCCTAAGAAAGAAAATGTGTATTTCCTTTTTTTTTTGTTCGATTGGATGAAAGAGAAGATAATAAGTTCATAATTTATTATATTTGTTATTGGAGAACTGAAGATAAAATTTTAAATTATTTTTATCATTATATCTAGTAATATTTATAATATTGTATTCATAGAGGGTGGTATAGTACTTTAAAACTTGTGTAATTTAGAATAATATTTAATTTTTTTTTTTTTTTAATAGTCCACTTTTCTTCCCCCTCTCTTCCGCTCAATTTTAGACAGAAGGATGATGCATTCCTCATATTATCATTTCTTTCCTTGTATCATCTCTACCGAACAAATATCTTCCTTCCTATTTTCTTTCTATACCTATTCCTTCATTCCTATCAAACAAAGTATTAATTGGTCACAATTTCTATCTAATTCATTTCTATAATTACACATTCATTAATTACATGACTCGTATCTATATACAACACCAAAAATTTAAATTTTAAGGACTAATGTTTCCTTGATAGTTGATCATACATAAATATATATGTTATATATGGATTCATGTTGAGAGATAATGATGCTTTGATTGGCAAAGTAAATGATAGCAAGTGATGTATATAATTTATATATAAAAATATATAACAAAAAAAAGTACTTTATATCGATATACAAGTTCATGGATATAGCGAGGAGAGTGTGAAAAAAAGAAAAGAAAAAAAGAGTAATGCTATCATGAGAATCTCATGACAAAATGTATTTGCTCTCCTTATTTATCCATCGAATTAAGATAGTTTATGGAGATTTGTGAAAATTAAATGAACTTTTTAATAAATTTTTTAATTCATTGGTTAAGTAAGGAGAGCTCATCATAAGAGGGCTCTCGTGAAAACATTACTCAAAATAAAGAAAAAAAATAGAAAGTACTTTTTTAGGGCACTTTTGTCCTATATATATATATATATATATATATATATATATATATATATATATATATATATATATTCAAGGAAAGAATGTTTGGGGTTAGAGTGGAGGGGGATGGTGCAAGCCTCAAACACGGGTAGCAACCCAATCACTCGAGTAACATGGCACTTGTGAAATATATATTTTTCATGTCCCATAAAGATAGGAGATATGCAATTAATGAACATGTGATTATAGGAATTATGACCAATTAGGAGAGCGACTGGCCTAACACTCCTCTAATGTTGCGTGTTTGGTGTGTAGGAATGGAATGGAATGCAAGTGAGAATGGAATGAGAATAGAAATGAAATGGAATGGTCATTCTCATTCTATTGTTTGGTTGCAAATATAAAATCTGTAGGAATAGACTAATGTAAAATTTAGAAAAGAATGTATTTCAAATTAAATTCTCTAAAGTAACAAATAATTTAAATTGACAAAATGACAATCTTCTATAATTTTTTTAAAAAGAAATGGCGGTAGTGGTTGATGGTGGAAAACGGTAGTGGTGTAGGTGGTGGTGGTGGTATTGGAAAGCGACGGTGGTGGTGGCAGAAGGAAGTAGGGTGTTGGTAGAAGGCAGTGGTAGTGGCGACGGAGGTGGTAATAGTGGAAGGCATCAGTGGTGTAGGTGATGATGGTGGAAGGTAATGGTAGGGGTGTGGTGGTGGTAGAAGACGATAGTGGTATAGGTGGTGATGAAAGGTGGCGGAGGTGGAAGGCAGTGGAGGTGACAGTGGTGGTGGTGAAAGATAACAATGGAGGTGGCAGTGGTGGAAGGCTGTGTAAGTCAGTGGAGGTGGCGGCGGCTGTGGTAGAAGGTGGTGGTGGTGATGGAAGTCGGTGGCGGCGGGGGTGGTGGTGGAGGTTGCAGTGGAAGTAGAGGTGGT